ATTCCTATATTTTGTACTCTATATTTAATCTGAAGACAATACCCAATGTTTGGATTATTGTAATTTCTACTAACCTGTTTGGAAACTCTATTATTGTTATTTTTATTTTTTTATCTTTAAAATAAAAACTAAACTGTAAAAAAAAGTATACACAAGAAAACAGAAATTATCGCATGCATATTATCTGACCATACTGCAAGGAAATTGGAAATAAAAGACAAAAAAAAACCCAAAAAATCCATAAATACATGGAAATTAAATAACACCCTCCTCAGCAACCAAGGGTTACAGGTGAAATTAAAAAAGAAATTAAATAATATTAACAATCCAATGAAAATTAAAGCACAATTTATTGGAATTTCTGGGATGCAAGGAAAGCAGTTCTTAGAAGGAAATTGATAGCTGTGAACTCACACATTAGGAATACAGAATGAGAACAAATCAATACCCTAATGCTGCACATCAAACATCTAGAAAGAGCAAACCAAACCCAAAGCCCAAAGAAGGGAAGAAATTATAAATATTAGGGCAGAAATTAATGCAATCAAGACAAAGAAAATAATAAAAAGAATTAACGAATCAAAAAGCTGATTCTTTGAAATATTAGATAAATTTGATAAGCCCCTAGCTAACCTCATTAAAAAGATCAAACAAAAACTCAAATTCAAGCAATAAGGAAAGAAAATGGCAAAATTACCACAGACCCAGTGGAAATTCACATGATCATCAGTAGCTACTTTGAGAATCTTTACTCTCACAGAATTGAAGACACAGAGGAAATGAACAGATTCCTAGAAAGGGACAAATTACCAAAACTGAATTAAAAAGATATAAGAACTCTGGATAACCCAATAACAGCTAATGAAATGCAAAATGTATTTTTAAAAATACCAAAAAAGAAAACCCCAGCTCCTGATGAATTCACACCTGAATTCTACAAAAAATTTACAGAAGATATAATCCCAACACTCCTCAAACTCTTCAATGATTGAAAAGGAACAATCCAATATCATTCCTGAAGGTGCATATTATACTGAAACCAAAACTGGAGAAAGATTCAATAAAAAAGACAACTAACTACAGGCCAATCTGACTTACAAAAATAGATACAAAAATCCTATTATCTGAGCAAATATAATACAAAAAATCATTAAGAAGATTATACAAGGGCCAGAGGTATAGCTCAGTGGCCTAACTGCTTTCTTAGGTAAGCGCAGGGGCTAGGGTTTGATCCCTGGCTCCACAAGCCACGCCGGCCCTGCCCTCAGGCATGCTGAGCTGGCAATGGAGTCCAAGTGTGGTGACACAAATCTGTATCTCAGCACTAGGGAGGCAGAAATCAGGAGGATCACTATGAGACTGGGCTGTGTAGTGAGACCTTCAACAAAAAAAAAAGATTATACACCATGACCAAGTAGGATTCATCCCAGAAATGCAAGAATAAATCAACATATACAAATCTATAAATATAACACACTATATGAATAGAGCCAAATCCAAAACACATATGATCATGTCACATGATGCAGAAAAGTCTTTTGACAAAGTCCAAAACTCCTTCATGTTCAAAGCCCTACAGAAAATTTGAATAGATGGCTTCTACCTCAATCTGATTAAAGCCAACTCTGACAATCTAAAGGCTAACATAATTCTAAAGGCAGAAAAACAGACCTTTTACTCTCAGATCAGGTGCAAGACAAGGATGTCCTCTATCACCACACCTATTCGATATAGTGCTGGAATCATTAGCTAGAGCTATTAGACAAGAGAGACAAATAAAAGAAATAAGAAGAGGTAAAGAAGACGTTAAACTATCATTGTTTGTAGAGGACATGATACTCTACTTCAGAGATCCAAGAAGCTCTTACAAATAATAAATAAAGTCAGTATTATAGCAAGTTACAAAGTCAATACCCAAGCATCAATACCATTCTTTAACACAGATAATAAACACACTAAGAGAGAAATTAGAGAATATCCTTTACAATAGCACTGTGAAAAATGAAACACTTAGAAATTAATCTAACTAAAGAAGTAAAAGATCTATTCAATGAAAATTACAGTACTCTGAAAGAAAAGATCGAAGGGGATTTCAGAAAATGGAAAGATATACCTTCTGGATTAAGATTTTTGTTAATTTCTACATATCTGGAGGTATTAGAATTTTTTGAGTATGTATAGCTGGAAAATATTTTACTTTTAGTTTTCAAACTTACGTTTGCTAAGTGAAAATTCAGTGAGGACAGACCTTATTTGTTTCACTCCTTTGAATAAAAAATGTCTTTGTTTCTTACCCACTTGTTCTTTTTTTTAATTGGGAATAAGATTCTATTTCACTTTCTTTTTCCATATCTAATACTTTTTCTATCTACATGTTTTAATGATTTTTTTTCTTTGCAATTAGTTTTGGACACTTTCAGTTTTGTGTATCTTTGTATGATTTTATTCATATTTCTTAAGCAAAAGTTTCATTTTTCTTGGAAATATGACACTACAATTTTAACTAAATTCAGAAATTTGACCATATCAGACCCAAAAGCTACAACTCTTGTTGCATAGGTCTTGCTTTATCTTGGTCTTAACCATCCAGCAGAAAAGTATAAAAATGAAATATAAG